GGGGGACCTGGAGCTGGTGCTGTCGATCCTGGAGTTGGAGACCCTGGAGCTGGAGGTACCGGTTCTGGGGGTGCTGCTGTTGGGGGCATTAGAGCTGGAGGCCCTAGTGCTGGTGCTGTAGACCCTAGAGCTGGTGCTGTAGACCCTGGAGTTGGAGACCCTGGAGCTGGAGGTGCCGGTTCTGGGGGTGCTGTTGCTGGAGGCACTGGAGCTGGAGGCCCTGGAGCTGGTCCTGTCGACCTTGGAGTAGGAGACCCTGGAGCTAGAGGTGGCGGTTCTGGGGGTGCTGCTGCTGGAGGCCCTGGAGCTGGAGGTTCTGGAGTTGCTGGAGGAGCTGGTGCTGCTGGTGCTCGTCCTGGAGGTGCTGGAGCTGCCGGAGCTGGTGGTGCTGCGGGCTTTGGAGCTGGATGCGCTGGCGCTGGACGCGCTGGAGCTGGAGGCGCTGGAGCTAGAGGCGCTAGAGCTGGAGGTTCTAGAGCTGCTGGAGGCGCTGGAGCTGCTGGTACTCGTACTGGAGGTGCTGGTGCTGGTGGTACTGGTGCTGGTGGTACTGCTCAGCAGCGGCTGTTCTTCGCTCCGCCGTCACCCTCGTCTCTGCCACCGCCTGACTTCGCGCTTTGCCAGGTTCTTAGCCTCCCGTCTTCTACTGGCCACCCGTTACAGCCAGGCGCTCCGCTCCCTGCTCCTTCTCCTTACACTGAGCAGACGGACTCGCTTACAGAGCGTTGTGAGCCTACGTCTCGTCCTGCCTTGCCTGTTCGCGCTGGTCGTCGTGTTCCTCGTGAGCGTCCTCCTCCTGTCCCCGGCACGCACACTATGGCACTTCGTCCTTCCTCTGTTCCACAGCGTGTTCTCCTACCGTCTCCTCCTGCGTCCTCTCTTCCGCACGTTCCGGACCCTGAGTCTGACTTAGATTGTGTTGCCAGCCCTACTATCACCCGTCTCCTGGCCACTGCTGTCACTGACCCTTCGTTTGAGTCTGCGACCGCGTCTGCCCTCGTTGCTGAGCTTGTCGAATTTGCTGCTCGCTTTCGTCTAGACTACGCCACTAGTCTTGTTGCTGAATCAGAGTCTGTCTGTCCTCCGTCCGTCGGGGGTGAGTCTGCTTTTGGCATGGACGTCCTCGAGGACAGGCAGGAGGACTTCGAGTGCTCTGCAGCTGCTGTACCTCATCTCGTGTCCATGCTGATTGCACCTGAGGGAGACCCGGATGCACCAGACATCCCGACCCCGCGCTCTTACGCAGAGGCGATTGAGGGTCCCTACTCCTCTCAGTGGCAGTCAGCCATGGACGCAAAGATGGCATCCTGGAATTCCACAGGCACTTACGTCGACGCTGTTCCCCTATCTGGGGCGAACATCGTCAGTGGGATGTGGATTTTCAGGGTGAAGCGGCCGCCGGGTTCTCCGCCTGTCTTCAAGGCGCGTTACGTTGCTCGAGGCTTCAGTCAGAGACAGGGGGTTGACTTCTTCCAGACCTTCTCCCCTACCCCGAAGATGACCACTCTTCGGGTTCTGCTGCACGTCGCCGCTCAGCGTGACTATGAGCTTCACTCTCTTGACTTCAGCACAGCTTTCTTGCAAGGTAGCCTGCACGAGGAGATCTGGCTACGCCGCCCACCTGGCTTCACTGAGTCGTTTCTAGCAGGTACCCAGTGGAACCTCCGGCGGCCAGTCTACGGTCTCCGTCAGGCGCCTTGCGAGTGGCACGACACACTGAGGATGACACTTGCGGCCTTTGGGTTTGCTCCTTCGACTGTTGACCCGTCGCTGTTTCTGCGCACCGACACTTCGCTGCCGCCGTTCTACATCCTCGTATACGTCGACGACTTGGTCTTTGCCACTGCTGACACTGAGGGACTTGCCCACATGAAGTCTGAGATGCAGAAGAGACACACGTACACATACCTGGGAGAGCTGCACAGCTATCTTGGCTTGCAGATTACCCGGGACAGAGCACGGCGCACCATCACCCTGACTCTGTTACAGATGGTGCACCAGGTCCTTCAGCGCTTCTGCTTCACGTACTCCTCGCCACAGTCCACTCCTCTGCCTACCGGTCACTCACTCTTAGCTCTGCCTTTGGATGGGTCCGTAGAGCCGAGTGGCCCGTATCCAGAGCTTGTGGGCTGCCTCATGTACCTGATGACCTGCAATCGTCCTGTACCCGCTCGTCTTCTGTTCTCAGTTCCAGTTGTTAGGTTGAGATCTACGCAGGGGCCATGGCTGCACAGGAGTTACGCTGGCTCACCTACCTGCTGACCGACTTGGGAGAGCCGCCTCGTTCTCCTCCAGTTCTGTACGTCGACAACAAGGCCATGATTGCCTTGTGTCAGGAGCACAGACTGGAGCACAGGACGAAGAACATCGCTCTGCGTTACTTTCTTGCTTGAGAGTTGCAGCAGCGTGGACAGCTTCGTCTTGCTTACGTGGCCTCTCGGGCCAACACCGCTGATATCTTCACCAAGACACTTCAGCCTTGTGATCATCAGCGGTTCTGTACTGTGCTAGGACTTGTGCCTACTTGGCCTCACTTGCTCACCTCTTGACTTTGCTTGTACTGTGATCTATATTGTATACCTGCATGCCTACGCCTGCTAGGTAATGATCACTGTACTGTTGTTGTTGCATATATACCTCTGCATGTGAACTGGCCTTGTGACTCTTTGCTTGTGCTCGGAGTGTGTGGTGACGTTGTGATCCACCCTGAGCTTGCTTTGCTCTTCTTGACTGGTCTTGTGACCCCTTGTTCTCCCTCACTTCGCCTATGGGGGTGTGTCAAACTACATATGTGCTAGTTCTATGTAGGCTATAGTGGGGTAGCTTGTATGGGGTACAACCCGATGTTAGAGTTAGTACTTGTACCCACAATCCTTTCAATGTAGTCATTGTAGCTTCTAATCTTGACACCTATCCCTCCCTGCCATCCCCATTATCTCAGTAAAATGCGTGGCCAAGCTGTACCCCACAAAGATGAACGGGAAATTAGTCGGAGACAAAGGTGCATTTGGGAAAGTCGTCCTGAAGGGCCTCCGGTACGTGAAGGTCTCTACTGAAAGTCGTCCCACAAAGATCAACAGGAGATTAGTAGGAGACAAAGGTGCATCGGGGAAAATCGTTCCGTAGGGCTTCCTGTACGTCTCTGAGTGATTACAGTGTGCTATTTCAGTCTATTGGTTCCACTTCCGGGTTATTTGGTTCCGCTTCTGGGTTTGGTGCTTCCACTTCCAAGCTTGGTGGTTCCACCTCCGGGTTCGTTGGTTCCACTTCAGGGTTGGGTGGTTACACGTCCAAACTTGGTGCTTCCACTTCTGGGTTCAGTGCTTCCACTTCCAGGCTCGGTGGTTCCACTTGCGGGTTTGGTGCTTCCAATTCCTTAGGTGTTTCCACTTCCAAATTAGGTACTTCCACTTCCAAAAAAGGTCGTTCCAAGTCCAAAAAAGGTGGCACTTCAGCATCTACCTCTGGCTTTGGCGCTTCTACTTCTACTAGTTCTGCTACTGCTACTGCGTCGTCGCCTTCTGGTCCATCCACTTTCTCTCCCGCTCCTTCTTTTTCTGCCCCCCCTCCTGCCCCTGTCTCCGCTCCTGCGTATGCCGGTTATTCTCGCAGCGTTTGCCCCGCTCCTGCTTATCCGGCTTCCTATCCTGCTCAAGACTCTTATAACCCTGGTTACGGCTACGGCTATGGCTACGGTTATGGTCCCAGTTATGGCTACGGTCCCAGTTATGGTTACGGTCCCAGATTTGGTTACGGCTACTCAGCAGCACCTGATGATTGCTACCCTGGTGATGACTACGATGGTGATGACTACGCTGGTGACGACTACTCTGCGCCTGTTGCTCCTCCATACGAGACACAAGCAAGCTCGTCCAGGTTCCAGGAAGCTGCCTACTCCAAGCCTAAAAAAAACAAGTCAAGAAAATCTAAGTCTAAAAAGGCTGGCACTTTCAGTCCTGAGCATTATTGGTGAGGCAGCATCAATCAGCACTGTGTGCATGTGATGCACTTGTACTGATAAACGGAGTATTCCATTCCATTTCCTACTTTTAAGTTGACTCAACATTGGGGTGGTGCTACAAACAATAAGTCAGAAGCTTACGGTATTGTTTATGCTTGTAAGGTCACTGTTGTACAATACCGGTAATGTGTTATGAGATGTTTATTAGAGCCGCGTGGAAAACAAATATCAAAGATTTGACAATGCAACGAAGGCAGGATAATATTGCAGGCCCTCCTAGCTAGGTAGGTGGCCTCGGCTGCAGATAGAATCCATCGATCGTGCACTTCCGAAAGTGGGGGTTGTACGATATGTGAAGAAGTAAACTCCGTTAAGGAAAATGAAATCTCCTTACACACACAGAAAAAATAACGGTCACACTAACGAATATTTGAAAGCGAGGTTGGGCACGGGTCAGGGTTCAATAACCTTCGGAGGCGACTCGATGGAGGTTGAAATCGGACCAAACCTGTACGCGGCGCGCTTTAGGTAGGAAATTTGAGTTTTTTGGCGGCACTACGGTGTACAGATGGACCGAAGCAAGGGCCAACGAAATTTCAGCGTCAAGCCGAAGCGAATCAGATGCGAATTTGGCGTGGTTGTGATGAGAGGAGCTCGGTTTGATTGTAGCTACATAGCTTGAGGTTTGGTACAGAACGTTCTGGCTAGGTCAGGTCTGGTTTGTTTGTGTCAATTGCCTTGATTGTACATCCGACAACGTCGCTTCTTTCTGATAGGAAAAACGAGTGCTACCCAGTAGATATTCATGTTCTAGCCGTTGCCTTAGTCAGACATTTGTTCGTTGTTTACGTGCTCGATTTTCCTAGCCGTTTCCCACGCCACATCACCCTCGCAACTGTATCGCTGCCATGTCGTCCTTCAACTATGTCGTGAAGGTGAGCAGAAAATATCGCTTCCAGGCGGCCCAACTCAAGAAATCTCGCCAGCCTCTATGCTCTATAACGCTTCAACTCGTCGATGATTTAGTCTTAGTCTCCAGATGCCCTACACGTGTCGCTACGTCTGTGCCTCGCGCTTTCTAGATTCTTGTGGCGATTGCTGCTAATTGAATCAGCTGCTGTGGCGTTCTCATCTCACAACATCAGAAAAGAATGTCCAGTCGGTTTGTGGCGTTCACTCGGATGAGTGGCAAGACACAAATCGTCTCTAGGCGCCCCTTTCATCCTGCAATAGCGCTCCGGCATACCTCCCATCGGACCTCTGTGCCTTTTTCCCTACTGCAAAGCATTGTTCTATTTCCCACCCCCCTTTCCTCTTACTAACCCGTTTTTCCCATTCTCCAACCTCCTCACCCTCCGTCCCCCCTCCTTTCCAGGTCAACTGCAATGGCTCTTTGCTTCGCATCTCGTCTCGCCTCTCCCCACCGTCGTTCCTCCACGTAAGCCTGCGGATTCGCGCGTCTCTCGACATCCCCGCGAGCAAGCCGCTCTCGCTGACTTACACGGACGACGACGGTGACGTCATCACGCTTTCCACGGACGAGGACATTTATGACGCATTTGTTTCTCAGGAACTCAGTGTCCTACGTGTTGAGGCCGCCTTTGACGTTTCTGACGCTAACGTTAACGTAAACGCAGGCCTTGGCAGCGACGGCGACTCAACGACTGTCAAAATGACAGATTCCGTCAAGTCGGACCCCAAGAGCCGTCCAGCCGTCAGCACGTCGGTTGCTGTCAGCACTGACGATCTGCTAACCGCTCCCTCGTGTTCCGAACAGAAATCCAGTCCTCCATCCTCCATTCTGCTCGCGGGTAGTGCTGCTGATACCACGGTCACTGCTGCCTCGAAAAAGACAGTTACCACTGATACCACCGTTGCTGCAACTTCGCTAAATGCATTTAACACTGCTGCTACAGTTACCGTCACTTCTGGAGGAGTAGCCACCGCTGTTACTGCTGTAGAATCAGTTATTCCTGATACCACCGTGAGGGGCGCCCCCGGCTTGCAAGCAGCAGGTGCTGGCGATCCACCTGCATCTGCTGCTACTGTTCCGGCTGCAACTGAGGCTGCTGCTTCCCCTGTCAGTACTACCGCACCTGTTCCTAAGGCTGCTACTTCTGGCGTTGCTGCTTTCGCTACCATTCCTCCGCCTGCCACTCCTGGATTCGGTGCTTCTGCTAGCACTGCTGCTTCTGGTTCTTCCACTCCCACCACTGGCACTTCGTCTTCCGGTTTTGGTGCTTCCTTGCCTGATCGTGCTGGTTCTCCAACCTTTTCTGGTAGCCCAGCCGCAGATGGTGCCAACCCTTTTCCTGCCACTGCCTGGCGTGTGAGAGCAGGAAGCCTCTCCAATCCTCTGACCTCTGGCGATTCATCTTTTCGTTTCTCCTCCCCTGCTGCTGTGCCCACGAATGCTGCTCTCCGCAAAACGGCATCAGCAGCACTCCTCTCCAAGCCTCTAGTGTCTTTAGCTTCTACTTTTAGTTCCACCTCCCCTGCTGCTGTGGCTGCCCCACCTGCTGCGGCTGCCCCACCTGCTGTGGCTGCCCCACCTGCTGTGGCTGCCCCATCTGCTGTGGTTGCCCCACTTGCTGTGGTTGCCCCACCTGCTGTGGCTGCCCCATCTGCTGTGGTTGCCCCACCTGCTGTGGTTGCCCCATCTGCTGTGGCTGCCCCATCTGCATTCGGCAATACGGCAACAACCACAAGCCTCTTCAAGCCTCCAACACCAACCGTTTCTTCTGCTCCTGCCCCTGCTGTTGGCCCTTGCACCCCTGCTTTTGCCTCGTCAACACCAACCGTTTCTTCTGCTCCTGCCCCTGCTGTTGGCCCTTGCACCCCTGCTTTTGCCTCGTCAGTGACAGCCGCAAGCGTCTCTAACTCGTTACCATCTGCTGCGTTTTGCACCCCCAGTTTGGGCTTTTGCAATTTCCCCTTTGACGCTGCCTTCCATCCCACTCTGGCCTCTGGCACACCTTGGTACATCAAGTAGTGTACTGCTTATGGCCTTGGTTCAAGGAGAACGTGCAAGGCTGCAATAACTATTCTGTGCAATGTCTGTATACATTCTTGTCACATGCAGCTATGGCACCTACATGTGCTTTTCATCTACATCTCTGAGTCCCAGCATTATGCGAATGGCACTGGTTTCTGCAAACCAAAAGAGCTTGATTCTGAGATAATGTTTGATTTCTAGAGCAACATTACAATCAATCATATAATCCAACACTATCAATCAATTTGCTACCCTGAGGATGGAGACAGTCAAGTTTGTTCAGTGAAGGTGAAGTAATGAGTGGAACGTACCACCACGGGTTCGCCACCCACAAATACCGTAGGACAAATAGGCTCAAAGTGGACTCGTCACCTGTCTCCACCTGCCTCCACCTGCCTCCACCTGCCACCACCTGCCTCCAACTGCCACCACCTGCCTCCGCACACAGTTTGAAATCTATGAAGTGGAAAAGTGGTCCCAATCTTTGGGAGCAGCTGCAAACTGCTGTCCAGAAGCAAATGGACTTATAAGCAAACCCAGAAATCCGTGGGTAGGAAGGGAGGGAAGGTGCCGCCACTCTTGGGATGGAGGAGCAGCAGCAGCAGACTGCTGTTCAGAAGCATCCACGGGATCACTAACTGACGCATAAAATTCCTGCTCCATGCCTGGATGCTTGCCTTCACACACGCACGATTAGAAGTCCGTGGGTAGGAACGAAGGGAACGTGCCGCCACTCTTGGGGAGCAGCAGCAGCAGCAGGCTGCCGAGCTGACTTTTGAGTCGACTCAAAAGTAGGAACGAAGGGAACGTGCCGCCACTCTTGGGGAGGAGCAGCAGCAGCAGGCTGCCGAGCTGACTTTTGAGTCGACTCAAAAGTAGGAACGAAGGGAACGTGCCGCCACTCTTGGGGAGGAGCAGCAGCAGCAGGCTGCCGAGCTGACTTTTGAGTCGACTCAAAAGTAGGAACGAAGGGAACGTGCCGCCACTCTTGGGGAGGAGCAGCAGCAGCAGGCTGCCATTCAGAAGCATCCATGCGGACCACTGCCTCCTCCTCTGCCCTCGGATACAGACCGTGACCTCGGCCCTCAGGCGCGCTCTGCGCATGATAAATCCCAACCGCTCAATTGACACGCTTGGTGACTTACTGTTCCGGAAAACGGGGTCCAGCTCAGCTTTTCCAGAGCTAACCCTCACATCCATCGCCTTCCATCAGCTGTGGGTCGAAAGATGTGAAGCTGTTTTTCGCGGGCAGAAATTCCGCACGAATCGAGTACTTCATAAGATCGAATTTGCGTTCAGGCAACATGCACGGATCTACACCCGCAAGTTCGGCGCAACTTGCCATAAGCGGCATCGGAAGAACATTACGGAGGAGCAGAAACTTCTGGGGAAGATCAAGGTGGCCGGCTTGAGCTGGAAGTGGACAAGTGCGTTCGCCGCACTGTGGTCCAAGAGGAGGGCAAGTATCTCCCGCCCTTAGATTATCCCATCTGGAACAGTAGCTCACCCTCTGTTCCTCACGCGCGGTTACGACCGTTATGGGGTTATATGCTTGCTCACTCGGTGTATATCTTTCCATATAATCAAAAAGAAAAAAGAAAAAAAGAAGCATCCATGCGAGCACGAGTCGCGCATTAGATTCCTGCTCCCTCCCTGGACGCTTGCCTTAACACACAACTAGAAGTCCGTGGGCAGGAATGAAGGGAATGTGCCACCACTCTTGGGTAGCAGCAGCAGCAGACTGCCATTGAGAAGCATCCACGCGAGCACGAATCGGCCTCTGCCAAGTGGCGAGATCTCGTCAAGTGACGGAAGCTCCTCACTGTTGCGGAAGGCGAGTATGATGAAGGCCCAGAAGAGGCACAGCACACTGCCGGAGAATCCACCCAGGGCCAGCAGGGCCAGAGTGATGAGAGTTGTGATCTTGGCCTTGCGCCTGCCGAATAGAGCCTGCATACGAGGGCATGGTGATAGAAGGCAAGGGGAAGCAGGGAAGGCGAGGATGAGGAAGGCCCAGAAGAGCCAGAGCACACTGCCGGAGAAACCACCTAGTGCCAAAAGAGCCAATGTGATGAGAGTGGTGATCTTGGCCTTGCGCCTGCCAAATAGTGCCTGCAGGGATGACGAAAGACGAGGGGGAGAGAGAGAGGAAAGCGATGTTTTGGGGGGATAAGACGGGAGATGGAGAGGCAGCTCCTCGCTGCTGCGGAAGGCGAGTATGATGAAGGCCCAGAAGAGGCACAGCACACTGCCGGAGAAACCACCCAGGGCTAGTAGCGCTAGAGTGATGAGAGTTGTGATCTTGGCCTTGCGCCTGCCGAACAGAGCCTGCATTGAAGGGAAGCGGGAGCAAAGGCAAGGGCAGGGAAGGAGAGGATGATGAAGGCCCAGAAGAGGCACAGCACACTTCCTGAAAAGCAGCCTCCCAGGGCCATCCAGATGCCCAGCTGGTCGCAGCAGGTTCAGTCTGTTTTTTTTTTTTTTTTTTTTTTTGAGAACTTCCCAAAAACAGATCCAGCTGGTGGCAGCAGGTTCAGCACCGTAATGATAAACCTCTGCAGCCCTGCGAATGCTCGAAAGTTCACCAGCATACCTAGGCCCGGCCCGGCTCGGCCCGACCTGGCCCCGCCCCGCCCCGCCCCGCCCCGCCCCGGCCTGCCCAGCCCAGCCCAGCAGCCTTATAAACGCTACAGGAATTGTTGATCCATCTGCCTAACCAGCAACACCCACTGCACCCACCCACCTGCACCATGTGGCCTCCATCCAGCTGCCCAGCAGGCACCAGATTGAGCGCTGCAATCACAAACCCCAGCAGCCCTGCGAAAGCTAGAGGATTCACTGGTACTCCCAGCCCTTCCACGGCGTTGGGCATGACGTTGCCCAGGTCGCTCCAGTCCCAGCCTATGCCTACATAAGCCGTATCATTGTAAGCAGCAGCACCCAGAGAGGCTGTACCCTCGGCCCCAACCCTATTGCATCGTACCTGCACCATGTGTCCCCCATCCAGTGCAAGTACCACCACCAGCAACAGAGGCTGTTTGCTCTTCTGCAGCACCCACGTACCTGCACCATGTGGCCCCCATCCAGTTGTCCAGCCGGCAGCAGATTCAGCGCTGTAATGACCAACCCCAGCAGCCCTGAAAACGCCAGAGGGTTAACCTGCACGCCCAGCCCCTCCACAGCGTTGCGCATGACGTTGCAAGCAACTTCACCCACAGAGGTTGTGTCTTATACACCCACCCACCCACTCACCTGCATACGCGTCCACATACCTGCACCATGTGGCCCCCGTCGAGCTGTCCAGCAGGGAGCAAATTCAGCGCCGTGATCACAAACCCTAGCAACCCTGCGAACGCGAGGGGGTTGACGGGCACGCCCAGCCCCTCCACGGCATTGGGCATGACGTTGCCCAGGTCATTCAAGGTGAAGCCTATGACCTATGTAAGCCGTTACCTGTGCACGCACCACCAGCTATAGAGGCTGTCTGCTCTTCTGCAGCACCCACCCACCTGCACCATGTGGCCCCCATCCAGTTGTCCAGCCGGGAGCAGATTCAGCGCTGTAATCACAAACCCCAGCAGCCCTGCGAAAGCTAGAGGGTTGACGGGCACACCCAACCCTTCCACAGCGTTGGGCATGACGTTGCCCAGGTCGTCGGAGTATGGTCCGATGACGTTCTGAACGAAGGAGAGGAGGAGGTTGGGGGCGAAAAAGGACGGCTCGATGTACCTGGTGGAGGGATTGGAGGGGGGAGAGTGGGGAGAGAGAGAGAGAGAGGCACAAGGAAAGAGTATGGGCCGATGATGTTCTGGAGGAACGACAGCAGCAGGTTGGGGGCAAAGAAGAACGGCTCGATGTACCTGGTGGGGCAATGAGGATGGGAGGGGGAGGAGAGAGCGGTGGGGAGGGTGGACAGGGAGAGGCACAAGGAAAGAGTATGGGCCGATGATGTTCTGAATGAACGAGAGCAGCAGGTTGGGGGCGAAGAAGGACGGCTCGATGTACCTGGTGGGACATGGGGGGAGAAAGACGGTGGAAGAGGGAGAGGAGGGAAGAGCGGTGACGAATAAAGAGAATGTGGAAGAGTGTAGGCATGACATTTTGTTGATGATGGGGAATGCAAGGGGAGGGATGGAGAAGAGGATTTTATTTCGAAGATGTGTGATGGAAACAAAATGCTTCATGAGGTGTCAATGCATGAGAGCTATTCTTAAGTACTTCCTGTACAGTAACTCCTCTGATCGACCTTTTGAACACATGGAATGCGAACAGTGCAGCCTGCATGGCATGCATATGCTCTTCTTCGATGCTCCGGCCACCTGACAATAGCACAGAACAAATTCTTTGGCTCTTTGTAAACAAATACTGCAACAACCAAAGAGGATGTTTCACGCTGTTGGCAGGTGGACGGACCAGTCGAAAGAGAGCATATTCAAGGCCAGATAGTCCGCCGTGTTTGTATTTTATGTGTTCATGAGGGGCGACCAGAAGGACTCACTGTACCGAAAGTACTTGGGAGATGCTCTCGTGCGTAGATGTCTAGTAAAGCGAGTCGTGCATGAATATTATGAGTTTCCAATCCATGTGTGCTGTATATCGAGAGGAAAACGAGGAAAGCAACTTCGGGAAATGAGATATATAACATTCAAGTTGAGAAAGGGGCAGCTAGTAGCTTCTCTTGATCACACGGCATTGAGGGCAAATGATAAGCTAGACAAAGTGGAAGTGGAAGTGGAGTGGGTGGCAGAGATTATGGCAAGCATAATGTGCAAGTTACAGACAATATTATAAACATAATGTGAATGTAAAACAGATGTGCAAACGTGACAAAAGTTCGACGTTGGAAAACCAGAGCTTTTGAAGGCACCTTCTTATACCTAACTGAAAGGAATTGTTGATGCCAAGGAAGGGACTCACATGGGGTCGATGCCCCCATCAACACCCCCATCAGCTGCCAGCGCCACACACGCCAGAACGAATGACGTCATGAATGACCC